GGAATCATCAGAACAAATGTGACAGAATCTCAGGAACTGGGAAAATGGAATAAGAGTCTTTACAGGAAGCAAGGTGCGAGGATGTATAGTCCAGATAACAGGGGGGTTCAGTGGGTTTACAGTGGATAATGGTGGCCAGTCCAACCCCAGAAATGGAAACAGAGATGTCGAGGAAGCAGTCAGAGATGGACCAGGTGAAGGTGAGAGTGGGATGGAAATTGAAAGCGAAATGGATAAACTTTTCCAATTCCGGACGAGAGAAGGAAACAGCACTGATGATATCATCGATATACTGGAGAGAGAGTTGTGAGTGGGGGCTGGAATAAGACTGGAACAAGGAATGTTCCTCGTATCCCACAAAGAGACTGTTGCGGGAAGGAAGAGATGGGGTGAGGGCTGAGGTGCGGGAGATGCGTTGGCCCCAGCTGAGAGCCCTGTCAACAGCCTAGTGGAGGGTGGATGTGTAAAGGGATTGCATAACCATGGTAAGAGGAGGCGGCTGGAGCCCACAGTCTGAAAATTCTGAAACTGGCTTAAAACGTCCAAGGAGTCACAGATTTAAGTGGGCAGGAACTGAACAACAGAAGAAAAGACTGAGTCAAGGTAGGAAGAGATGAGTTCTGTGGGGCAGGAGCACGCTGAAACAATGGGTCTGTTCGAGCATTCCTGTTTGTGAATTTTAGGAAGGAGGTTGTTGGCTCTTAAATTTTTGTAATGAAGCACACATGAGACCACCAGGGATGGTTAGTTATTAATTTTATTGGTTGAACTTCAAATGTTACATGAGCAGTCGATCTTTACCCCTTTTCTTCCAATTGCAACTGTACCCCCACCCTGCCCCTGGCTCACATTCTCATACTTTTATATCCGCTCCCACCCTATCCTCCCCCCACCCCCCAACTTACTTTCCTCCAATCACCTTACACAAGCACCAGAGTGCTTGCCATTTTCATAGTCTCCCCACCCTCCGCCCCCCCCGAATGCTAGAACATTCTGTCCATGCTCTCTGCAGCTACACCTTGTAGTATTTACAAGAATCACTACACATACAACGACCTTAACATGGTATGAGTTTGCTCAGAAATTTCCACATGTCGAAGCTTCGCTGGATTAAGGAAGCAGGCTAAACCATATTTAAGACATTGGACAAAAACATAGACAGCAAAGATAATAATAAGGAACTTTATGATTCCTTGAACAATAGAGATTCCCATCGAGCCTAGCCATCCAGTGGCCCAGCTCTATAAGGTACTTGCTTGAGGTTGCTTTAATTTTGTCATTTCCTTACGAATATGGCCAATGAGGTTAGTTACGTTTTCAGAGTTATCAGGAATGTAGGTACAACATTCCTGACCTATGAGGGCACAAGTGCCACCTTTCTCAGCCAACATTGAGTTCAGAGCTATGCGATTCTGCGTAGAATTGGCTCGTAGGACAATCATTTCAGCATTAATCTTATCAAGGGCCTGACAGGTCTCATTGGCTATCTGTTCTAGGATAGCTGCCATATTGATGTATTCTCTGGCTAGGTTGGCTGTATTGAATGGGGTGGGGGGACAAAATAGCAAAGAATCGTTCTGTTTCTGTAATGGCACATTTGTGTACTGTCGAGTGGATTTCAGAGAGGTCACAAAGGTGACACATGAATGGCACTGCAAAAGCAAGGTAATAGGAGCCTGTCCATGACGGGGTAGGAGGGTGCGGGGGCAACCAGGCATAAGCCTTGTATCCGCAATCAAAATAAGTGCCGTCGTATGGGTCAAACTGAATAATGTAGTTAGAAAACGAACAAGAATTGGTTAAAGGTCCCCGCTGACGTGAGGTTGATGAAATTAAGTTTGGATGGAAGCCAAGCATCAGGTGTGACATTAAAATATTGTGGGCAATCACTGTGACCTGCAAACCAACCCATAGACTCAGATCTCGTGGAACAAATAGAGCCTGCTGGTTTTCCTACCTTTGATGTAATTTGTAATTTGATTCTCACCACAGATGCTGCCAGACACGCTGAGCTTTTCCAGCAATTTCTATTTGTGTCTCTGATTTACGGCATTCGCAGTGCCTTTGGTTTTTGTTAAGAACTTCATGCACTTTGGTCTTTTGAGATTGTGAAAGGCACCATATAAAAGGAAATGCACATTTTTTCTTGCTTGATCCATGGTCATTTCAAATTAGGATGTCATCTGTAGGAGCAAACACTTAAGGTATCATGTGCCCTTACCATGGGAATTTTGTGGATACAGTTATTGAGATTTTCCAACTCTTGCAACTTGATTTACAGGCTAGAGATGCGTTCTCCTGTTTACAAGTCTGAAATAGACAATGTGCTTGAAATATCTCCAGAAACCTGGAGCTCATCCAAAATAGTTTTCCTCACCACCACATTTCAGCAAGCTGTGATGCCAATTGAATTTCTGTCAGGTTTCTTTTCTAAGGTGAACAGATTTGCTAATCAGTTGTGCTTTCTTATATTGGTCACACATTTGTAAACATCGGGGAACTTGTGTGGATCCTGCTAATCTAGCATAAGGTGTTAACAGCTGTCAAACTGATAACCAGAGTGCCTTATCAGTGATATCAGCTGATGTCAGAGTACATGGAACTGGGACCTGAGGGAATAAGGTTCCAATGAGGTCCTGCAAATCTGTGATTGGAATCTTCCCAACTTCTAAACACTAGGAGCATTGGAAAGTCAGCTGGGAAGATCTGGTGAGATCAGAAAAATTAGATTATAAACAACAAAAGTCAGATTTTCCATGCAAAATTTTAACAGCAAGGCGAGAATTTCAACAGTGAGTGGTGCGAGGCCCATTTGCATGTAATACCATCTCATTATTATCTAATCTTATTTAATTTATATGCAGTTTGCTATTTTACAATGTACTAAAGAGAAACTGGATGGCAACAATTCCTGATATTAAAATCTGAGTACCTAGCAGATCCAGGTTGCCACTTGCTCCTCTCTGCCTTTACCTTGGCCAGCATTCCATAATATCTCAGGCACTCAATGGGCAATGACTAGTTGCATCCTTTGTCCACAGAGGTGGGCATTGGACATCCATTAGCCTCACCACACCATGGCACATCTGCAACTCACTTATAATATAATTCACCATGTCAACATTGCACTTTGGAGCACACTAGCATCTTTCATTGCAATACTGCTGCCAGGCCATTTTTTTGTGCAAGGTACATTTCAAGGCTGTCAGCTTGTTTTCTTAGTACTCACTCACTGTATACTTATTTAGATGCTTTCTGCATCTTGCTATTGCCTTGCTTTGCCCTTTTGCGCATTGCTATCTCATTCAGAACTTACAACCTCATAGTACTTCTGTCTTGCCTTCTGTTTAGTGCAGTCACAAAGCCAGGCAGTTTGTCATAGTTGCCAGCAGTGATCACTCAAAGGTTTAGACATGTTACTGTATAGCACAGGGCCATATCAATGTCAAACATACTTCACGTGTTTCAATCAAATGGCCATGTCTCTAAATCTGAGGGAAGTGGACCTCAGTCATGTCAAGGGGGAGTGTCATCAGTCAGAGCGTACTTGCACAGTAAGTCAATGGTGTACTTGATATCTCTGCAGGGACTTGGGAATGGTGAGTTGGCCTTTTGGGGCAGTCAGGGACAGGGTTTTCATATTGTTAAATTCTGGGATTGGACCACAGTCAGTCCTGCAGTTTCAGTGCAATCAGTCTGGGAACGAGTGGACCTTAGACAGAGAGCTGCACAGAGACTAGTCTTGGTTCTGGTCACTCACCAGGCGGGGCTGTCTTTCCAGGGTTGGTGAGGGGTTGGCCACAGTCAATCTTTGGGTGTCAGAAAGGTTATTAGGGACCTCTGCTGTGGTGAGTAAGTTGAGAAAATCATTTGTGGGGATTGCAGGCTCGAATGCAGAGAGGACGACATTGCAATTGTGTGGGAGGGGTGAAGAATGGGGGCAACTCAGCATATTGCAACAATATGATAACACATTGGAGGACAAAGGTTGCTGTGAGTGGGAGCTGCTTGATGGTCACCACCCTGGCTTCCGTGGAGCTAGGCAGGGAGGATAGTTAATGCATCACAATAGACAGCATATCTAATCTATAGGTTCAGGGCTCTAGGGCAATGTTGGGACATGAAGACTCAACTGAAAACGTTGGGTGTGAAGGGGTGAAGCTCGGAACTCATGGAGTTCAGAGGGAGTGCAAAGTAGAAAGGTTCATGAAGGCTTCCGGAGCACCTAGATTACGAGGCTGAGCTGGCGTCTCACTCTGCGAAGTGTGACCAGTGTTGCCTTTCATCCTTACCTGCATCACAGATGTGCAATGGAAATGAAAAACAGCTGACATCACACCTGGAATGGGCAGAATAAGTGGTTTTCTTCTGTCTGAGGACACAAGCTGTACTTGTGAGCGATGTGCTGCCTTCAAGGGGCAACTGCATTAATCAGCCACTTCAACAGTACAGGTTTAAGATCTTTATAATTGTAGAATTCTGCAAGTGAAGCACATACAGTGACCAACTATGCGGAATACAAATTCTGGTCACATGCAATCTTGACCACGTCATTGGTCAATACAAACTAATCATAGTCAGCTCTGTGAAACAAATGTCATCACAGGCAACCTTAAAAGTGTCACCTGCGATCCACAATTTAGAAAGGTGATCCAAGAACTCATAGACTGTGCAAAGTTCCAGAGATTTTTTTGGTCTCACCTCAATATGCACTGCTGTCTTTCTCGGGTGATGTAGGTTGGTACATTGGGGAACAGTGTCAGTAATCCTACTGCACTTGCAATCTCACTTCATTTGTGTAGTGAGGCTTGTGCTGCACACATCACAATAAGGTTCCCTGTGTCAAACCTCCATGTACAAACATTCCATAGCACTTCTTGTCAGTGTCCTCCATGTCTCACTGTATAGAATACCATACTAAACTGTCATCTTTGTGAGGTGTGAATGCTGACTGTTCACATTACTAAGGACCTGTTCTGTTTCTGATATTCTCCACATAGGTTCGTTGGAGCCAGGACCAATAAATCTAGTCACAGCACGGGTTATCGTCACTGTGGCCACTGTGCAACAGAGGTCTAGAGAAATTGAGGGGGAACAAATGTGCCAACAACCCCAGGACCAGCAGCAACCTCCAGCTGCTGCTGAACGGCCTCCATATGAAGAAGTCACAGTTGTAGGTCTCTTTAGATGCAGAGGAAGCAGAGGAGGGTCAGAGTCTATTGCCCTCAATGCTATTTCCTCCAGATGACTGAGCCACAGAGCCAGTGCAGACTGCAGATGTCCTGGGATACTGTTACAGAACTGAGTATTCTCCTGAAACAGGACTTGTGATCTGAAGGATGGATAGCCATCCTGTCCTGGCGGCCACTAAGGTGACAGCTGCACTAAATTCTTACGGAATTTGCTGCTTCCAAGGATCCATTGGGGACCTGTGTGAAATCATAGTCCTTAACCCTCAAATGTTTCAAAGCCAATGAAATTTGTGCAGTTGTACCTCTTCATCTTGTTTACCTGTATAAGGTCAGTGCTACAGCCTGAGGAGTAGGCTTTGCCAAAACAGTTGCTTGTCTCTATGTGCAGTTTGCAATGGAATGTTGGGAGAGCCATATACTGCTGTGGTACACTTTACCAATAGAAGAGGCTTCCATTTAGTAAATGTATGTCATCTGTGATCATCAATACCACATCTTAGAGGTCTGCGCCAAATACCACTGAAGCTGCCATTATACCTATATCCTGACATCCCTCATGCCAAACTTCATTTCAAGAACTGAATGTCTTTCAAGAAGAGACAAGGGCTTTTCTCTGTAACCTTGGCTGATGACAGCATTGTGCAACCAGAGATCAAGTGTAGATATAATGCAGGCCATACTTCCTCCAGGAACATCGTGGAACAGACGATAGGCCTCCTGAAGATGAGAATCGGTCCGCAGGTGCCTTGTAGAGCATAATCCTAGCATGCTGGGCTCTGCACAACTAGAACAGGCAACAAGGGCATATAATGGACACCAAAGAGCAGCAGTTATCCAAACAGGAAGATGAGGACAATGAGCAGGACAGTGTCAGCTTCAGTGTGACACAGCTTGATGTGGCAAGTCAGATAGGACTAAATCAACACCCACTTCCAATGGATGCGGGTTGGGTGAAGTCATCTTTCATTGACTGTAAATTTGTTGTCATTTCAAAGGCAAGCAGGCACATTTTATTCCTAGAAGTGAATGCAGCTCTTCTTGTTTTGTTTTCGGATATCCTGTTGTTCAATAAAAGTTAACATTTTTCAACTGTTTGAAGGCTTTGCAACACGTTGTGGTCCCACACCGAACAGTGACAAGATGCTATGCTACACAAGGTGCTGGGAAGGAGCAGCACTCCTTCAGACAGCATTCTAACACATTCTGGTGTTGATGATGGGTAGCCTCTAGCTTCATTCTTGTAGGTGCAGTTCTATCAGAATTGATCAGACAGGTGATGATGTTTAGAATTATTTGTTGAGATTCTATTTTCAGTGAAATATCACCCATGCTACCCATCTGCCCTCAGAGAAGTTTTCTCTTTTTTGTTTCTCTTCAACTACATTGACTGTGAAGGATTATTATTAGCTGACAGCATTTTTGACCTAGTGACACAAATCCATGGAAGGTCCCCAGCAGTAGCAAGTACTCAAACACTTTCATAAATACTTTCATAATTAATTAGGCAGTGGAGAATTATGTGAGATTACCAACCACGGTTCACAGAGAGAAACCCTTCGTGAAACTCCCTGAAATTGACTCCATAGTCTCTGTAAACAGTCAATAAATGTAGGTTGTTTTCACTAGCATGGTGTTCTGCCCTTAACCATCAAAAGCACCTAGAACTTATCATGATATTTATGCCTAATATTGATGAACATTGTCAAAATGTGAAGATTTTTTTTCCCTTAAAGCGTCTTGTTATACTTGTTTCTACAAAATATGGAATCTCCAATATTGCATAAATGGTGACAAATTTGGTCCTGGTTGAATAATGGTAAGATTATATGGGGCATAAGGTCATTAAAAATTATAAAATGTACAATAAGATAATTAGAGTTGTCTAAGTAGTAACGTTTTATATGTTTCAAATTTATATACTGACACTATCTGATGGGAACTTCCCCCTTTGAAAGGTTTGATGTTGACATAGAATTAAGTAACAAAATGAGTCTGAAAATACTGTTGAGTAATTTTAGGTCACTGGGAGTTTTAGTGTCAAGCAGGGTATAAGGCAGGAAATTGGAAATACACATAACAATGGTAATACAGTAATTATGGGGAACTTTGATCATGTGCTGGGTGAAACCAAATATGCAGTTATAATGTGGACTTGATGGGCCAAATGGCCTGCTTCAACACTGTAGGGATTCTATGACGCTAGTTTGATTTTTTTTTTACTGTGAAGAAGAAATTGGGCAACAGACTAATATAAATCTGGATTCATGTAATGATAATTTAATAACCTTGTTATGAAAGAATTTCTAGGAAAGCTTGATATTTGTTAGATGTTTATACTAGTTTGTAGGGGATTTAGTCAAGTCCAAAACAAGAGTTTTAGATATGGACAAAACAAATAGTGCAGGTAAAAGTGGTGAGCTGACTAAGGTAGATAGAGAAGCTTGATGAAAAGATATGAAGGTAAATAGGAAAATGGTAAACAATAATTAATTCACAACTTGCAATAAATTTATATTCTGTTAAGGAAATAAAACCCCACAGGAATAGTAGACCAACTGTGGCTAACAAGAAAGTTAAAATTAGTATTAGTTTAAAGAAACAGGCTTCTAATCTTGTCTAAAGGAACGGTAAGCCTGTGGATTGAGAAGATTTTAGCATTTAGCAAAGGATGATGAGGAAATTAAAAATAACAAAGAGGGAGTATGAGAATAAACTAGAAAGAGTGATAAAGCGATTGTAAAAGTCTGTAGTTGTGTAAAAAGAAAGGTGTTCGCAAAAGTAAATATGGGTCACTTGAGCACAGAGACAAATGAAATATTAATAGAAATAGAAATGTATTTTCCATCGCGAATCACTATGGCTATCTTTACCTTCGGCAAATCTTCCAGGGTGTACCCACACTTCCTGCCAATCAGTTGCTGGTGTCCAATCACATTTTAAGGAATTCACATAGATAACATGGGAAAATCATACTTTTAAACAAATCTGTCTTTATGGTAGAAGAAATAAAATTTGTTTCATGAAGTGGTGAGAATCAAGGATCTCAGGAGACTGAAGAACTTAAAGAAATTAATGGCACTATTGCTTGGCATGTACATCTGAAGGGAAAAAGCTTCATGTTCCTCATTCCTTGGATTGATCACCTTAGTCAAGAAGGTGGTGTCATTCCATAGAAGCAATGAGTCGTTGTTTCAACTCTTCAAAATTGCTGTCTTGCAAGTTTGCTGTCAAATGGCAAGAAAAAAAATTACGATTAAATGGAGCTTTTTATGATCTTAGGTTGGCGCAAAGAGCTTTATAGCCAATTAAGTAAGATAGAGGTGTAATTCTAATCGTCTGATTATTGTAGTGTATGAAATGTGGCAATTACTTAAGTACAGCAATGCACCATAACAGCAATGCGAAAATGAGCAGATAGCTTGTTTCTAATCAAAAAATAAATATTCACCCTTACAATGCCAAGTGCTCCCTTACTCTCTGTAAGTAGTCCCATGGAATATTTCCATTCATTTGAAAGGACAGTTAAGACTTTGGTTTAAAAAATCATCCAGAAGATGGCCTTTCAAACAATACAGCATCACCACAATAGAATATCAGCTGAGACTTGTGGTTAATACTCTGGAATGGGACTTGAACCCATAACCTGCTGAGCCAGAAACAAAAGTGATACCAACTGAGTCACAGCCAACTGATTCAGTAATAAGGATTTTAGTCTACGTACTCTGTGCCAGATGATGTTAGATGGGCACAAACAAAGCAATATCAATGATGAGAACTTTATGCAAACTGAATAAAAGTAAAATGTACTTAGATAGTGTTTCTCATTGCCTCGTGGTGTGTCAAAGCATTTCATGGTTAATGGGGGTACTTTTTGCAATGTAACTACTGTGATAATGTGGGGAAGCAAAATTAAAAATAAAGCCAAATTTATAAAATTACTAATATTTCTTTCAGAATAAATTGCTGTAAAGTGCCAGTTTTTAATCTAATATTTGAAAGTATTGAACATTTTGCAATGGGATGATCTGACGTTAATTCTTAAATGCTTCTTTAAGATGTCTTCATTTAAGTTTATGACAGAAGTCAAATGTTGTTGTTAGTGCTCAAACATCGTACATGTGCAGGGTAAATCAGCTTCAGGTGAACTGGAGTAGAAATTCCTTTGCATTCAACATAATCCTTCCAGAGTACTGATTAAAGAGACCCATTCTAATGGCGAACCTTATGCCAAAACAATTGAAGGAACCTTTGGATGAACTCAGTTCTGTGATGAGGCATTATCATGTTTAGTTATTCCCAATAAATTGTGGTGTTGACTTTATTGAAGAAACAAAATTGCACTTGTATTTAAGTACAGAGAATACTAAGCATTGGGACGTTTTGTTACTATTGATTGTATTATGTTTGGTCATATGGGATTCAGTTGTGTAATATTTGCTCACTGTTTGTAAATGTTATTTCATTTACCTCATTTGTGTTTCAATATCACCAATGGGCCAAGTAAAATATTTCATTCTTTTTCTGGTAGTATGTAAAGAATTCAGTGAATTACAACTTAATTTATCAATCAAAACAAGTCCTGGTTCATGAACTGTTTATTGGATTATTGCCAAGCCTCTTCTTTCCTCACCGAAACAGAACCTTCCTGAAATTCCATGTGGTTGTCTCAACATTCCACGTGTTTCTCTTTGAATTAACTGTATTTTCCATCGCTAATCACAATGGCTATCTTTACCTTCGGCAAATCCTCCAGGGTGTACCCACACTTCCTGCCAATCAGTTGCTGGTGTCCAATCACATTTTAAGGAATTCACATAGATAACGTGGGAAAAAATGCACTTTAGCAGGACAGAATATTAACTGTTCAGTTTCAAATCCACACTCTCTACTTGTGCTGGTTTTTCCTGTACACTCTCCCAGATGGAGTTTCCTGTCTTTACAATCATCTTTCCCAGGTTTTTTCCCGCCTTGAGTTTGTAACCTTCATTTCTGAGAGGTTCATCAGGAAATCCAGGAGGATATGCAACCCTATTTGAGACCAAAAGAGAGCACAGATGTTAAGAAATATTATGGTGAATTCACAGTATGAATGCAGTGTGTTAATTTTCATACAAGCAGCGACAAAAGACATTAAAATTAATGACTTTCATGTTTTCCTGATGATTCTAACTAAATACATTGCAACCAAGCAGAGAAATACCACACTGCTGCAACTTCTGAATAGTCTTGTACTTTTCAATATTCAAGTAATTGTGTGGTGTTATAATTGGCCTAATTGTTTTCATGACAGGGAAGGGCAACAAAATTATCCAGGATATTTATTCCTGACAACCAACCAGAGACACCAGCTAGGAGCAAAGAAATTAATGTTGGTGATAGGGCACTCATCCATTGGCATAAGAATCGGTGAGTAGTTTGCATCACTCAATTTCAGGAAGGCCTGCCAAATTAATTACTGATCAGGCACTTAATTGAGCTGCAGGTCTTCTTAGAATCAAGGACCCCAGGGGCAGCAATCCTGGCCCCAAGTTCATCAAATGCATCAGGCCACAAATGAGTGATACTGGGAGGGGCTTATGGGGAGTAAGATCGGGATTGGAGGGATTTGGAGTCAAAAACAAAGGACAGAAATAGGCTCTCAGTGGATTCTGACCCTTTTCCCAATGCTTGGTCCCTCAGTCAGGTACTGAATGCTTGATTCCATATCTCCCTTTCCCCAGAAGCCCAATAATAACCTATCAGGGTTTGCATTTCAGGTTCCTGTGTGGCGAGTCCCTGCTTAACACTACGTTCTGAGTGGGGCTATAATGGACCTAATTGGCTGCTCACATACCTAGAGTGGATTCCCAGTGCCTATGGCAGTCTAATTCCACCAAGATCAGATTGCAGACCAAGCACATTAGTGAGCCAAACTGATGTGCATCTTTGAAAAATTCCCTAGCCACATTCACATCCAAAACAGCTTCTATTGGTCTGATGAGATTCCACCTGAAAGCAGTGCAGACAGGCATTGACTACTTGAGGAGATACTTGGAGACCACTTCAA